CTCCCTTTGGTTTGTGGTGTGAAACTCTAGAGGTATACACAAAACAGCCAAATGAAAATTTTAAAACTCAGAATAGACACCGTCATCTCAGTGTCAGCTTTTGTATGGTTAACTTTGAGAGTCGTGAATGTATTATTGTCTTTTCTGGAAAGGGCTATTGAAGATTGTGGATTAAAGTGTTTCAGGATGGGTTATGGAAGGGAAGACAGAGATGCAGAGTTGCTCACAGAAGCTGCTGTCGGTGCTCCAAGAAAGAGACGGAGCAACAGAGAACATCCCTGGGCTCAGGAATGGAGGGTCTAGAAACAGAGAAGAGAGAGAAGGGACGGGGAGGATAGACACTGAAAAGCTGACCTGCTTGCTCCAGAAAGGCCAGAAGAGGACAGCTTTCCCTTGGCTCTGCCCATTAAGGTGACATGCTGCTTAGAGCCCTGCCATAGGTGAATACCTGCCAGTGCCATGATCTCAGGTGTGAAGCAATACCCACTGGTGGAGGGTGTTTTTCACATCAGTCATTCATCTCATTTTGCTTTTTCTCTTTCTCAGGGTTCCTTCATCCTGTGTTTTTAATACACAGTAATTGTGGGTATCTTTTATCTTGTTATATGATGCATGTAGATGAGTCCCCATAAATCCTTTTTGGAATTAGAAATAGCATGAATAAATATGCATGTATTATTCTAGGGAAATATAGGCGGGTTATTTCCTAGGGTGATACTACAATTTATTTTAATTGTCTTAATGCGAGTCTTCCCAAGTCCACAGATATTCTTATTTTGGGCATAAATTCCTTTTGTAATTAGATTTGTGTTTGTTTGGTTTTTTGCTTAGTGCAAATGAAAGTGTTTCTGGTAGAACTGGTTGCCTTTTCCAATGGAAAATATATAAGGGTTGTAGAGAAAGAAGGCCCAAAAGAGGGTACAACGTCTTATGGTCCTCGTCACCACGTGCTTCTGTGAACTGTGGGCAGCCAGTACACAGACAGTGGTTCACTTGAAATATTGGAAAAAGTAATTCTATTCTTTTTTTTTTTTTTTGAGTTGGCGTCTCACTCCATCGCCCAGACTGGAGTGCAGTGGCCGCTCCCGGCCACCGCAGCCTCTACCTGCTGGGCTCCGGCGATCCTCCCGCCTCAGCCTTCCGAGTAGCCGGAATTACAGGCGCGCACTACCACGCCCAGCTGATTTTTTGATTTATTGTAGAGATGAGGTCTCTCTGCCCAGGCGGGTCTTGAACCTGCGGGCTCAGGCAATCCACTCACCTCAGCCTCCCAAAGGCGGGGGATTACAGGCTGAGCCACCGAGCCCGGCACAAGTAATTCTATTCTTAAGATGTCCTTTCTTCTGATTTGTACGTAGTATTTTTACTCTACAAGTCAAAGAGTAAAGGCCAAAAAGGAATAATTTATTTCAATCCATCTTTCTTTTAACAAAAAAATAAAAATAAGACTTTGATAAGTCATTTCCTTAAGCATTTTGCAAGTCTTCTCAAAACGTTGTTGGCTATTGACAAAGAGAAGATGCAGTCTTGTTTTGTGACAATCATCCTTATTGTTTTGTGTTACAAGCAACAAGATAGGATTTTGAAAATGAAATTAAGGAGAATAAGTTCAGCAATCTTAACAGTGTGGGAATTTAATAAAATGAAATTCTGGAAAATTTACAAACGTCAAGCTTCCACATTTGTAGGTGAGATAGAGTCAGTGTTGACAAAAGTGAAAATGTAGGTTTGAATTGATTGGGCTTTTGAGAGAAAGGCGGCATAAAAGAGTGTCTGGAGTCCTGTCCTCTCTGCTCATCAGCACGATGAAGACTCTCTGCCGAGACAGGTTCCTGCCCGCCCCTCTGTGGCCTAGGACGTGGTGGGTGTGCTGGAAACTGCGGTCCAGTTTATGTCAGTGCCTCCAATCCACACATGAGAGGGACTGGGAGAGGGTCGGTCTTGCTTTCTTCACGGATTCCAGGCGAGTAGACATGTCCCTGCTGCCCTCAAACACTCCTGCACTACTTCTGAGGCACTGCCCCACCCACGACAGCTCACCTGAGGAAGAGAAAAACAAGACATGTCAACTGTTCTGCAGATGTTCAGGTCTGCTGTAAAAGAACCTTTCCACAGCAGCACACAATATGAGCATTTTGAGCTAGTTCAAGAAAACTACATTGGTCAACCATAAAAATTAAGAGTAAGTGATCACTGGATTTTGTAGATAATTTCCTTCTGAAACCACAGGTTTACCTTCTTCAATGCCCTGTTTGCAAGATCTTAACAGTCAGCCGGGGTTCAAAGCAAACTCTGCCAAGAATATTTAATGAGGTCAGCATTAATAATAATATTCCGATAATAAGTAATTGGTATGAGTGCTGGAGTATGAAACCACTTCACCCATTTGTTAAACACCAGTCCACTTGGTAATAGACACATGTCGTCAAAAAATCATGCTGTTAGAACAGTCTAAGCACCAAAGACTAAAACCTCTCCCCCTGCACATAGTAAATGTACTGGAAATGTCTGTGGAGTGATTGTAAATAAAATAAGTGCAAGCCGGGCTCGGTGGCTCAGTCTGTAATCCCGCGTTTTGGGAGACTGAGGTCAGTGGATTGCCTGAACCTGCGGGTTTGAGACTCACCTGGGCAACTTGGCGAGACCTCATCTCTACAATATAAATCAAAAAATTAACCGGGCATGGTAGTGCGCGCCTGTAGCTCCAGCTACTTGGAAGGCTGAGGCGGAAGGATCGCCAGAGCCCAGCATTTTGAGGCTGCAGTGGCCGGGAGCGGCCACTGCGCTCCAATCTGGGCGACAGAGTGAGACTCCAACTCAAACAAACAAACAAAAATAAAACAAAATAAAATAAGTGCAAAACAGTTTCTGATGGAAAAACAAAATTCTACTTGTTCATTATAAAAATTTAAAATAATGTATATTTGGATTCAAAGACAATATTTTTTAGTGTTGCCCTCTCATTTGGATAAGTTGGCAGACAAATAGAGGAGGAAACTTTTTTTAAGCCGGAGTCTCATTCTGCTTCCCAGGCTAGAGTGCAGTGGTACAATCATGGTTCACCCCAGTCCTGACCTCTTGGGCTCAGGTGTTCCTTCTACCTCAGTCTCCCAAGTAGTTGGTACTACAGGCATGTGCCACCATGCCCGGCTAATGTTTTGCCTTTTTGTAGAGATGAGATCTTGCTATGTTGTCCAGGCAGGTCTTGAACTCTTGGCCTCAATCAATCCTCCTGCCTGGGTCTCCCAAAGTGCTGAGATTACAGGTGTGAGCCACCATGCCCAGACCCAAATTTTTAAAAGGATGTTAGTGGAAGGGGAGCAGTCTTACAGAAAAAGAGAGAAGGGCAGATGCCAAAAAAGAAGAAGTCAGAGGAGGAAGAGCAGGGAGAGACGGCAACTGAAAGACAAAGACATGCTCAGAGAAAAGAATGAAGACCTGGAAGACAAACTTCCGCTTGACCAACTTTCAAGGTGTATTTCTGACACACACCTGTATATTCTTAAGAAAGTTGAGAGATTTTGCCTATGTCTAGAAGACATCTAGCTTTAGAGAGAGATTTTTTTTAAAAAGGGCATTAGTTTCTAGGCATGTAGAACCACCCCGCCTCTCTATTTTGTGCTCTGACTTTAAAGCTGCCACAGTCACCATTTTGACCTGAAATTTATTTCATTCATCTTTTAGGAACTCAAAAGGTGAATCCCAAGTCTTCCTTTGGTTTGTTTACATTCCAAAATATGTGTGAAAAATACATATTTAGAATAAAGAATAGATAGAAAAATCAATAAATCTAAAAAGGAAAAAATTTTAATTAGATTAAATCTCGAAAAGCAGATATAATTTCAAAATTCTTTTGATGCCCTCATACTTAACAAAGAAAAACTTCTCCTAATATTCTATAACAGGAAATAAAGAGAATTAGGTATAATTTTAGAGTTTTTATTTTTAAACTATCATGGAATAGTATTCCACTCATATGTGCCACTAGATTAATGAGACAGTGTTTCAAACTAATTTTATTTTGCAGTCCAGAAGTCCCCACCTCCTTGGGGTCTGTTCTGAAGTCACCTGACTCCAGGTGGTTGGGCTGCTGGGCCCTTAAATGACTGCGTGGCCCCTATGACAGGACCTGCTCCCCATAAAATAATTTTCCACGCTTGCTCACTCTTAGCTGTTATTTTGGCATTTACCCAGAGGTGTGCATGAATTGTTTTGCTGAAACTCTTTCTCTTGCCAGAGGGGAAGTTTCTGTGTGTGGTTACTGATGTTCTTCTCAAAGTCAACAAATGACAAATAAATAAATGATGGAAGATGATTTGTGGCAGTTATGCCTGCAGGCAGCCACAACTCACAAAAGCTCCAAGCTCACTTTATCATTTCAGAAGACTGCAGGCTTAGTTTCTCCAAGGCAGGGAAAGTAGGGAGACTACTCAGCAGCAGCCGTGAGTGTCACCAGGCAGGGGACTCCTGGCTGTGGCCTCCACACAGACTCTGTCTTCTGGGGACAGACTAGTCCCCCACTGTGGCTCCACTCACTTGGGGTGGACGCTTGGGATCCTGAGAGGTTGGGCATTTGATGCTGCCTGTGCTGAGGCCCTTCTGTTGGCTTCTCCCGCATTCTACTTTTTTGACAGAGTGTCACAGCCCTAAAACTACCCTTGCCAGCAGAAATTATTAAGATAACCAAGTGACTTGAGCATGGCCTGAACGTTCCTTTCAGCAGATGTTGGTTTCTAGGGTAAGCAGTGTGGCGGGGAAAGATGTGTAGCAGTTGGCTGACCCCAGAGCTCTGTGTCACGGCCGCCACCCCAAGTACACAGCCCAGAAGGCATTTGTACCTTTGCTGCTTTCTTTCTCAACATTATTTTCAGGGAGGGAATCATGTGCAAATGCACAGCAGCCATACTTTCCTGCTTTAGCAGTTTTCTTCTGAGCCTTTGATGACTTGGGAGAGCCAGGTGATGCCCAGCCGCCCCCATCCTGTCAAGCACACACTCTACTTACTCGGGAAGGTCCTGCTGGGCAGGGATGTGTCTGATCACCTCGTAAATAGTGCTGTGCACGTCCTGCCCTGAGACACCAGCAGAGGCTGGAACAGACCTGCTCGGCACCTAGAAAAATGTAACACATTAGAAAAATTAACATAGACTGGTAAATAGTTTTTCATTATGCTGCACAGTTGAAGACTGGCAGTAGTGATAACTAGAGCATTCTAGAATGTTCCTGTCCTCCCTGCTACAGTTCCCTGCATTTGCCTTATGGGAGTTTGAGCAGTCACATGGCTATAAGGTCAGAAGAGGAATTGCCTGACAAAGTTATGGGTTTTTTTCCTTCATTTAAGAATAAAACTGACAGCATCGTACAGGAAACATAAGAGAAAGAAGAAACAGTCACAGAAAAGAGATTAGGACAATCTGGAGTCCAAGAGTGTCTGTTGTTCTTTTCTGTATAACTCGTGACCCTTCTGACGTGGCTCAGAACAATGTTCAGTCAAGATCCCTCATCACCTGGCCAATGAACGGGCAGCACCAGGAAACACGGACTCCAGGAAGACACTGTGGCTTGAGTTGAGTAACTCAAGTCCCTAGGAAGCAGCGTGGGTGAGTGGGGAAGACAGAGTCTTGTATTGAACTTGGTATTCGCGTTTCACCAACTCCTGTCCTTGTATCTCTCAGCTTCCTTCTTTCTGCTAGAATTGCCTTCCAGTGGCTCAGCCTGAGCAGGCTCTCCTCACTCCCAAATGCTTCTGTTTCTATCATCCTCTGCCCTCCAGTCCTCCATATGACACAGCTCCACCAGGAGGACTCTGCCCTTGAGGGAGATGTTCTCACCCCATTTGACCTGCCAGGTTTCATGGGAACCTCTCGGCTTTACCATTTTCTAGGAGCCGCCTGTTGGCATTCTGCTTGTTAAAACTCCCGTGGGACGCCCTGGTACATGTGACTTGTCCTGTCATTTTTGTGTTGAGGCAATCCGGTTTATAGTTTGTCCTTGAGATCGACTCTTGACTTTCTTTGGTATGGTGCCAGTGGTCAGGGGCTGTGGTGAAATCGATCTACAGATGACCACCAATTCACTCACCTCACCTAAATTAGAGCTGCTACAAATAAGCTTGCTTGTTTCATGCAAATACCTTCTGTACATCTCTAGGAAGAGGTGATAGACAGTGGATGCAGAGTGAGTAGAGAGAAAAGTAGTCCATCCATGCATGCCAGGAGAGACAAGCCAAGAGATTCTTTTCTCTCCCTCTCTCCTTCTCTCCCTTCCTCCCTTCTTACCTCCTCCCTTCCTCCTTCCCTCCCTTCCTTTCCTTTAGATGGGGTCTCACTGTGCTGTCCAGGCTGATCTTGAACCCCTGGGCTCAAGTGATCCACCTATTTTGGCCTCCCAAGTAGCTGGGATTACAAGCACTCAAAAAGTAAATTTATGATTTTTCTTCTAACTTCAATTTTGAGATCTTAGTTTTATTATTATTTTTCCTTTTCAGGATCTTTGCATTTGGTTGCTGCTCTTCCCGCACTACTGCCATGCTGTCATCTTCTTGTCCTTGTGTCCTCGTCCTCCTTCTCTGGTCATTGGCCCTGATTTCTCACTTCTTCTCCAAAGCACCTGGTATGGCCAACGAGACCCTCAGCAGATTCCTCGGGTGTTTCTAGCTTCCAAGATGTATGCAGTTTCCAGAACAAGACTGTGTTTACAGCAGAAGCAGGCAGGGGTCTGATCAAAGCAGTACTCCTCTGTCTCCGGTCCTGAGGATGGCAACGTTTTGAGGAGGCCCTCCCAATAAACCTCCAAAGTAAAGAACCACAAGGCTGAGCAAAAGCTTCTTACCTACACCTCACTCTTTCCCAGTGAGTTCGTGGGAATAAAATGGGTGCATTGTCTTAAGGAAAGAAACTCCTCACTTCAAAGCTGTAGGTTGTGGCTGCTCAGTCACCCCTGGGAGCAGTGTCTGCCTGGCCAAAACTGCTGGCAAGGACTGACCCAACACACACGTTGTTGTCTTTTGGATTGTGGGAGCGGGGACAAAGTTGACCTGCTTGTTGCTACACAGGGTGGGGCAGGGCTGGCAGGGCAGCACTTTCCACTGAGGTCGGTCAGCCCGCTCCACGACTTATGTAGTGTTTCTGAAATAAAATCTGTGGCCAGAAACGTGCTGGAGGAAATCAACACTCAGACCGACTGCTCTGAGCAAGTGAAGTATTCACTCTCTATGGTAAATCGTTCTTTAAAAAGAGGGGGATGAGAGCCCAGGTGCAAGGACCCATGCATGGTACCTTCCCAAGCGACTGTCACAGGAGCATAAGGAAGTAGGAAAGGTTGGTCCTCAAACCTTCAAGAGTGCCATGTGCCAGCGAGCTCAGGGGAGTGTTCTGCATGTCGCTAAACAAGAAGACCCCCTAGGATAGACTGAAGAGCTGCCTCTGCTGTCCGGAAGGCCCTGCGTCTCCGGCACCCTGGGGGATAGTGAAGGCATCCCCTGCATGCTGTGGTCTGCGTGGCGATGCCTCTGCAGAGCATGAGGCCCCTCCAAGGGCAGGCGCGATGGCCTTGCAAAGTCATCAAGAGACATGAGGGGAACGGAGGAGAAACTGAAGAACAGAGCATTCAGTGACGTGATGGGCGCCATCACCCAGGGTGATGCCGAGGGTTTGGAGCCAGCCCCTGCCCGCTACTTACTCAGTCTCCTGACCAGGTGAGCAGTGTGTCTGGACCAGTGGGACTCTCTCACCCTCTGGCTCTACTTAGGCTGATCAGGGGCTTTCGCTGCCCACTCTGGCAGCATTCCCTGGCTGCTGAGTAAGTCAGCCTGCCCCGAGCAGTGACGGGGCCCACCGCACCACCCGGGCGTGCCCTGAGTGCTGCTTACACCTCTGGGGAGGCAGAACTCTGCTTCTGGGCTAGTCAGCCACTAGGAAACCAACCCTGGGCACACCAGAAGCATCTGGGAAAGCAACAAATTCATATATTCCGAAGTCATCTTGAGCATCTTCGTGACCTGAAACATAAAACAAATTCCGCTTATAAACCAGGTGCCTTGACCTGCTGCTGCTGTGTTTTAAAACCTGTGTAGCACTTTTCTTACTGTCTGCTCTGCGTGGCATGTGTTTGAAATTGGTTCCACATTTCCTAACCCTGTAGGCAGACTGCATTCAGCATGGTAGAAATCAATCTTCTTAAAGTTGGGTGCAGGAGCAGTACATATGTATTTAAATGCATGCATGGGGGCAAAGCTTGGCCTTGTGACTCTGTTACCAGAGACCTGGAGGTCACACCACCTGCAGTGTCCATTGTGCCTTGCTAGAGCTTACAGAAACCACCAGAACAGAGAAGAATCAGCACACAGCTGTGGCTTCCTACACATGCAGAAGACCACAGCATCACCAAAACCATCATCTACAGAACAGTGTGACCTCCGGACCCTCCCAGCTCTGACGTTCTGCCCTCCTGCAGGGAAGGAAGACCCACACTCGCCTGGGCATCGTACCAGGCACTCCTCCCACACCCTTTCACTAATTCTCACAGCAACCCTGTTGGTGGGGGGTGGTGTCTCTATTATATGGACGAGGAAGTTGAAGCCAAGAAAATGAATCTTCCCAAGGTAAATGGGAAAGCGGCATGTATGGAGCTGAGCCCTGTCTCTGGGACTCCACGGCTGAGCTGAAGCTCCACTGTTCCCTTGGGTGGCCCAGCGCAGGCAGTGAGGGCTCACAAGGGGGAAAGCGGGAACAGGAGCCCACAGGCCCTGCCGGTTGCCTTCCTCTTTTTTGGGCTGGAGCCATCAGCACTGAACCTACCCTAGGAATTAACAAAACGAGGACTCAGCAACTGGCAATGACTTGAGCTCCCTGATCCCTGGTTCTCTCCCTGGGAATGGAGCCAGGAGTGCCTTCCGGGTTGATCTTACAGACTCGGTGACCCGCATATGCCTGCACCAGGTGCAGCAGTGTAGAGAGAGGCACTGCTTGGAGGGAAGGGACTGTCGGTGCTATTTAATTTTAGTTTATGTTATAATGCTATTATATTAATGATATACTGTGCATGATAATTAATAACAGTAATTAATACACGTGAACATCGATAACAGCCCTCTCCACTCTGGCCATTACCTGAAAATGTTTGAGTTTTCCGATATTCTGTTTGTGGCCTGGGAAGACAAAATAGGGATTTCTGTTAGATGATAACTGAGGAAAAAGCACTCAAGGAAATAAACCATTTTCATAGAAACAGATATATTACCTGCCTTCCAGGTTCTGTTTTATAACTAAAATCAAGAAAGAAAGAAGCACAGTAAGGTATTTTTTTGATATGCATCTGTATATAAAACTTAAAATTTTTTTTTCTAATTTTAACCTACCTTTGCAGGGTTGATATTTTCTCCATAGGAAGAGAAGACACATGGATATAATAAAAAATAGTGATATTCCAGTTATGCTTGCTAAGGGAGACAGTGACTTCCCTCTCTGTGCAAATTTCTCAAGTCCTAAAGAAAATGACACATATGTTTTAGTGATAAGTTACCACAATATATAATTTGCCTTGTTAGATTTTATCGTAAATGAGACACTATTGAAAAAAACTTATACAAGCGGGACCCCAAAAAACCGGTTCTAGGTTTTTTCCTAGTGTTCTAGGAACCCATTGACATCAGTGTACCAGCCAACATTGTTATGAGAGGCTGTGTTCAGCTTCAGTGAATTCTTTTGGAGATTCCACTTGTGTGCCCATTACATGATGGGTGACTTACAAGCACATCTGCCCACACCAAGCTGAGTGTTCAACAGTCTTTGACCAAAGATGGCATGACCCCTCTGCCCCACCCTCCTTATTCACTTGATCTCACCCTGAAGGACTTTTTTTTGTTTCCCTGAATGAAAAAAAGTCCTCAAAGGGAAATGTTTTGCAGATGTGGAAGAGGTGAAACAAAAAATGGCAGAAGCACTGAAAGGCATCAAAATGGATGAGTTCAAAAACTGTTTTGAGCAATTGAAAAAGTGTTTCGATAGCTGTATTGCATCAAATAGAGAACACTTTGTAGGTGACTGAAGTTTAAACATGTAAGAATAAATACACAACCGGGCTCGGTGACTCAGCCTGTAATCCCGCGCCTTTGGGAGACTGAGATGAGTGGATTACCTGAGCCCGCGGGTTCGAGACCCGCCTGGGCAGCAAAGACCTCATCTCTACAATAAATCAAAAAATCAGC